AATAATAGAATAGAATAGAATGAGAAAGAATAGAATAGAAAATAGAAAATAGAATAGAATAGAACAGGAATAGGAAATAGAATAGAATAGGAAAGGATTAGAATAGAATAGAATAGAATAGAATAGAATAGAATAGAATAGAATAGAATAGAAGATAGGATAGGATAGGATAACAGAATTGGAAGGGACCTTGGAGGTCCTCTAGTCCAACCCCCTGCTTAGGCAAGAAACCCTACACCGCTTCAGACAAACGGTTATCCAACCTCTTTTTAAAAACTTCCCGTGTTGGGAGCATCCACAACTTCTGGAGGCTTCTGGAGGCAATTCTGTCATGGAATCTGCAAGCACCAGGGAGTCCTCGACTTACAACCACAATGGATCCCCAAAATGTCCGTTCTTTAAGGGAGACAAGTGGTTAAGTGAGCTTTGCCCCATTTTACGACCTCTCTCGCCAGCCTTATTAAGTGGATCCCCCGCACTTGGTAAGTTAGTAACCCGGTCGTTAAGTGAATCTGGCTTCCCCGTTGACTTTGCTTGTCGGAAGGTCTCAAAAGGGGATCGACGTGATCCCCGGGGGACACTGCAACGGTCATAAGTATGAACCAGTTGCCAAGCATCTGGGTTTTGATCATGCGACCTGCTGCAAAAGTCGTGAACTGAAATCTCTTTTTTTTTTTGCAGCGCTGACGTAACTTTGAGCCGCCACGAAATGAACCATCATAAGTCTGAGGACTGCCTGAAATATCCTCCCACCCTCTTACCTCTTCCTGGGCGAGGCCCTCGTTGTTGGGCATCACCCAAGTCAGAAGCTCTTTGGGGTTCAGCTTCCCATCTTTGTCCTTGTCGTAATCGTTTTTAAAGCGATCTTCTTCCACCACGATCCATTCGGGATCTTCTTTCACGTCTGAAAAGAAAGGCCGCCGTTTTGGCAAACGCCTCCGTCTTTCACTGGCTTTCCCCTTTTTTAGCAAAACCCCATTAAAACGTGCCTTTTGCCTCGGGGTGCAGGCTGGGACACCCTTCTCTAGGGTGGGGGCGCTTCGCTAGCAGCGGTGGCTCTTCCGTCCCAAGGACCGGCCCATAGATTTCCACTGCTCTCCTCTCCTCTCCCCTGCCTTCTGTGTGTCAGGCATTGGAGCCAGCTGTTCCTCCTCTTCCTCATCAGCCACCTCTAGACCTGGCTCTTCCATCTCAAGGACCCGCCCATAGATTTCCACTGCTCTCCTCTCCTCTGCCTTCTGCGCATCCGCAGGTCGGGCATGGACCCAGCTGTTCCTCCTCTTCCTCATCAGCCCCACTCACTCCACACTCCTGGCCTGGCCACCAGGCTGCTTCTTTGCGCTTCTTTCTTCTTCTGCTTTTGGCTGCACGCAAGGAAAGCAGCCAAAGTCTTTCTTTCCCTCCTCCAAACTCCGCCAGAAATGAGTCTTTGGGACCCTGCAAGGCCTCCTGCTCCAAGAGGCTGCAAAGACTCCTTTCTGGTGGAGTTTGGGGGAGAGAGAGAAAGACTTCTGCGGCTTCTGCTGTTTTCCTTGCATGAAGCCAAAAGTCTCTCTGTTTCTGTTTCTCTCTCTCTCTCTCTCTCTCTCTCTCTGTCCCTGAGGACGGAGCTGGAGACGGTATCCTATGATCCCAAATAAATAATGATCAGTCGGTAGGAAAACGGGTTGGGAGGTTTTCCTGCAGACATTTTGGGGGGGGATTTTCCCGGGGTCTCTGGTCCGCGGGATTTAAAATGATGAGTTTGGCGGTCCCTGAGGTCCAAAAGGTTGGCGACCCCTGGTTTAAAAGATTTTTAAAACGTACCCTCACTTCATCGGCAAATGCTTAAAGCTGAAGCATTTCGTCAGCCGATTCTTAACATGCTTAAAGCCGAGAAGGTCCGGAAATTGTAATATAATAATAATAAAAAATTATTAGTGGAGTATAAGTCAGGGCCCAGCAATATTTTGAAATATTTTAACTTTCTGGACATCCCTGCCCTCCCAGCTTTCTCTAGCCGGGGCCCTCCAAGGTCAGAGAATGTTCAGACTTCCAACCATTCATGGTCCTTGAAGACCCCAAGCTGGAGAGGAATGACCCGCCACTCACTTGGGTCTCTTCGGTAGTCGCCCAGGAATTCTCTGAGGCTGATAAATCCATCTCCATCTTTGTCATGTTCTTCCAAAGCTTCCTGGATGACGAACTCCTGGTGGGAAGGAGAAACCAGACGGAGGTCTCATCCGCTCTGCTCCACCAGGCACGGGACTATAAAGCGGGAACCTCCAAATTTGGTGGCTTGAAAGGCTTGTGGACTTCAACTCCCAGAATCCCCCTAGCGCCAGCGCCATATTGAAGCTGAAGTCCAGCAGCATTAAAGCTGGCAGGTTTGGAGGCTCCTCGCTAGGAACTAACCAGTCTCAGGTCGTGTGTTGTGCTATTAGCTTACACATCATTGCACCTTGCAAACTAAGCAGGGGTACGTGCTGTGCAAATTGGGTTTTGCCAATGAGATAGGTTTGGTGCTATAGGAATGGCTAGCATTTATATTATAGATATTATAACATACAGTAAGATAATATGTGTGTGTGTGACTGTGTGCGCTCACACATATGCATATACAATATGTCTGTCTGTCTGTCTATCATCTATCCATCTACCTACCTACCTACCAACCATCTACTATCTATCCATCTATCTATCTAGTATCTCTCTAATTTAGCTCATCTCATCAAAAACAAACTTCCTTCCTTCCTATATCTACCATCTATGATCTATTTATCTATTTATCCATCCATCTATCTATCCATCTATCTACCCATCCATCCATCTATCCATCCATCCATCCATCCATCCATCTATCTACCCATCCATCCATCCATCCATCCATCCATCCATCCATCCATCCATCCATCTATCTATCCATCTATCTATCTATCTATGGAACAAGTTGCCTCCAGAAGTTGTGGCTGTTCCAACACTGGAAGTTTTTAAGAGGAGATTGAATAACCATTTGTCTGAAATGGTGTAGGGTTTCCTGCCTAAGCAGGGGGTTGGACTAGAAGACCTCCAAAGTCCCTTCCAGCTTCTATTCTATTCTATTCCATTCCATTCTTTCTCATTCCATTCCATTCCATTCTATTCTATTCTATTCTATTCTTCTACTCTCTCTACTCTACTCTTATTCTTATAACTCTCCTCTACTCTAAATTCTATCTATCTATATTATAAAAGGAAAAAGATGCGGTCTTAAGTTACTACCATATTCTTTTTCCCCTCTGCCCTGACTTTTTTTCTCTTCCTCTTTCCCCTCCTTAGTTTTCCATTATCTTTGTTATGTTTTGTACTTCGCATTTTGATAAACCAATACAAGGTGTGAAACCGAGGACTGCTGTTAAAAAGCGGTCACTCCTGAACGGTTTTTAAAGCCATTCTCTCCCCGCACCGCACCCCGAGACTTGCCTTCATGTAGTCGGCCTCTTCCGGGTGTTCAAAGGCGACAAATTCCTCAAAATCCAACATGGAGTCGCCATCCTTGTTAGCGTTTTCGAACCTCTTCTTGTCCCTTAAATGGAGCTTTGGAAAGAGAGGTGGGTTTGGATGATTCCCCAAGAGACGAGGAGCCAGCCCTCATAAATGAAAATATTAAAACTTTTTAAACATTTCCCTCACGCCCTCGGCTGCAGGAAAGGATAAAAGGATCCCGAAAAAATTAAAATGGGGGATGTTCCGTTGTTTTGGGAGCAACTTTTGAGAACTCTCACCTGCCGGAAAGATTCTTCTTCGGCGTCGTCCAGCGTGGTGTGCTCTTCGAAGTCGATCACCCGGTCGTACATCTGGATATTGTACTCCTCCCAAGAGACCTTCCCATCGCCATCTTTGTCATAGTGGTGGAACTGTTGCTTGGCGTCTTCGACGATGTAATCCTTGAAGGAGTGCTGGATCCACGAACTCAGCTCCTCTGGGGGAGGTTTCCCAATTAGCCTGGTGAACGGACAGCCTCCCCGTCTCCCCGGTGGGTGACCTTCAACCCCCTGAGAACTGGAGGGGGGGGGGTGTCTGCAAGCCATTTTCCTAAGAGGTGTTGCGAGGTGGATTCCCAAATCGGGTCTAGGACAAATTGGCCCAGTCAAACTCGCCGCGGGACAAAGAGTCCCGCTAATATTGGAAATAGCCCTGTATCACCCCGTTTCCTTGAAAGTACGACCTACCCTGAAAGTAAGCCCTAGTTTTTATTTATTTTATTTTATTTATTTTATTTATTTTATTTATTTAATTTATTTATTTATTTTGTCAAGCGATTATAAGATAACGGGTATAAGTATAAACATGGTTATGAATACATGAAATGGATACATATAAGAAAAATAAAAAATAAACGAAACAATAGGACAGGCTCTTGACAATTGACGATTTATATTACTACAGCTAGTCCTCGATGACTAACCATCATTGAGCCTGGATTTATGAACATAAGCCATCATGTCACACACACACACACACACACAACCAATTTCAAACCATTTTTGCGGTGGTGGTGAAGTGAGCATGGCAGTTGTTAAACGAATCCACCATACTCAATGGACGGGGTTTCCCTCCCCCGCCAAAAAACCCAGAGGTAAATACTGGGCACCAGCCAAGGACACCCAACTAATCCGGATCACGCTTTGTGGCTGGGTCTCATTCACACGACCAGCTAAGCCCAGCCCGAGAAAGCGGCCGGTAGTTGAGCTTAGCCGGAGGGTCGTCATCATCAATCATCAATCATCATCAATCATCATCATAGGTACCTTCAGTGAGGAAGCCGTCATGATCCACGTCAATCTTACTTATGATCACTTTCAGGCGTTTCTGCTGCTCCTCCGGGCTCAGTTTGGAAAATTCCTCCACTTCATCCTTTTTTTTGGGGGCGGGGGGTGGGGGGGAGAGAGAAAGAGAACTTAAAATGAGGCCTAATTTGCAGATAGATAGTAGACAGACATATATACATATATATACATACATACATATATATACATATACATATATGTGGATCTTTGGTTGTTCGGGTTTTCTCCCGCGTAAGATTCGAAGTATCTAGGCAACGTTTCGATGAAGTCTCATTCATCATCTTCAGGCTTCTGTCTCCGGCTCTGTGCTTTTCAGAGTAATGTGAGATTGCAGCTGCTTCCTCCTTTTAACTGCCAGTGGGGGTGGGACTTGATTGGGTGGGGGCTTGGCTGTGTTCTGATT